TCAAAATATATCTTTATATATTATGCTCCTAAGCTGGTATGTCTTTAATGACAAAATTCATTTTTTAAGATGAACCCATTTTCAATTTAATTTAATAGATATTTGCTATAGATGAGGATTATAAGCTATAGTTCTGCCAGTATGAAGCTCACAGCTACATTGAAAAGATGACTGACACATATTAGACAAGTATGCTAATTTGCATATAAAATGCAAATGTAGTAGAAAATTCAGTAAAATCAAACCTCATAATGACAGACATGGAATCAAGAATTTCTCTTTTCACTCTCCTACACCCCACCATCTTATTCCTACTGCCATCACTTACCATCTCCTGTTGATGTCTGCTGCTTCTCTGTCTCTCTAAACTGTAAGCTCTTTCCCCTGAGCTTCAGTCTCACATAGATAAGCCTCTACCTCAATTCAAGATACCCCGGTTTGAACCAACACCATGTTATTCATAGAAAGCAGGTTCCCTATCTTACCGTGTTGCTTGAGGCAGATGCCAGAAGTCCCCACCCATCAATCACCAACTCCTGTGGATTCTACCTCTCTCAAGTCCATCCCATTTTTCTCTTGCCTCATTACTCATCGTTTGTCTACACCACTGAAAAGTTTCCCAACTTTTGAATTGAATGTTTCTAAATGCTTAGAAATAGTCAAACTTTCTAGTAGCAGGAAAAAGCAAAACTAAACTAGATAATGGACTAGTTACACTCACCAAACCTTAAACATTTAAAAGAATGAGAATAGGCATTGTTGACTCATGAAAGGCCAAACTGGACATTATTTTTTCTTGTGAATAATATGATGATATACATTAAAAACCTAAATATATTTACATACATTAGACCTAGAAAATCTGCTATTATATAAAAAGATACATGTGTAATGAGTTTCAGTGAAGATTTGTTAAAAAAAAATTGCATTAGAATTAGATTGGGATTATCTTACTTTTATGGATTCATTTGGATTTTGTTATATTTATAGAACATGTTTATGGAGAACTGTCACTGTTAAAATGTTATCTTCCTATTCAGGAACATACAGTTCTCCTCCATCTATTCATCTCTTCTTTCAGGTAGCACAATAAATCCTAAAAAAAAAAATTATTCCTAGACAGTTTACATTTTAGGTTGCTTTTTATGAATTGATCTTTTCTTTATTGTATGTAATATTACATGGGAAATTCATTGATTTTTGAATACTTTAAAAAACAAACTGCCAAAGTTAAAAACAATTTTCAATAGTTGGTTTGAGTTGCTTGGATGTTCTAGGCAGATAGGTAATGACAATTTTGCATTATCTTTCCAAAATGTTTATAACTCTTATTTCATTTTTCAAATCTAATTGTGTTCATGTACATCTTCCAGGAGAATTTTAACATATATTAAGAAAGTATTCTTCAATAAATCTGGTTTTGCTAGGAATGGGCACCAAGTTTTATGGAAATAATATATTTTATGATCTTTTGGTAAACTGAGAGCATAAAAATACATCAGTTCCAGAAATCAGCAACTCTTGGTTTTCTAGTTTAAGCTTATATACTTGGTGATATTATTCTTATTATCACATGCAATTAATTTAATGTGCTAAACTTTTATGAAAATTTTGATGGTAGGATTATATTAACCTTGCAATAATTGAGTAGCTTCTTGGCATTCTTTAAAGCAATATAAGGGTTTTTACAGCTAGGGATAAGGTATGCCCTCAATATTTGAATGAACACGAAACATTTATTTTCATGAAGTATTTAACCTAATGGCTTTAGAGAGTATTTCTTTTCTTATTAAGGGGGATGTTTATAATTTTTATAATTGCAAACATTTATAACTTTTAAAACTTCTTAATATTCTTAGGTTTCTTAAGGTTCTCCTTCTTCTTAGTTCAATTTTAGACACATAATTTTCCTGGAAAATTATCTACATTATCTAGATTTTTTTACATTTTAACTTAGATTTTTGTGCTTAATATTTTCTTAAAATCTTCTTTCTCAATGTTTTATGATTACAGTTTAGATAATTGGGTCATTTGCTTTTTGTTCTCTTTTCTTAGTTAGATTTGTCAACAACTTATCTATTTATTAGACTTTATAGATCTTTGTAGAGAACCAGCTCTTGAATTTATATACCAATTTTGATCTTTTATTTATATCTTGCATTTCCTTAATTTATATTTCCTTAAATTTATTAATTTTAAAATTTATGAACTCCTTCCTCTTGTTTTTCTTTTTTTGTTGCTCCTATGTCTTTGTTGGGATGCTTAATTCATCTGTATTCATTCTCTCTTAATTACAAAAGCATTGACTTTTCCCGACAACAGCTTTAGTTGCATCCCATGTATTTCAATGTGTGCTAGTATATGATTAGAGCTTCAATTTATTCTTGGAGATAGAGTTAATTAGGAGAGGCTTTTCTGAATCTCATAGTTGTGTGATATTTGTTTATCCTTTTGTACTAATTTAAAATGTTATTGCACTGTGCTCATAGGTACCTATAAAAACAGTTTTTACTTTTTGGAATTGAGTTTTGTAGTCTCAAATATGATCAACTTCTAAAAGTATCCCATGGACTTTGGAAAATATTATTTTACATATTAAGTGCTATAGACTGAATTGTGTCCTTCCAAAATTCATATGTTGGCGCCCTAACTTCTCATGTGACAGTATTCGGAGATGGTGACTCTGCGAGATAATTAGATTTAGGTAAGATTGAGAAGCTGGGCCCTTATGAAAGGATTAGTGCCCTTTTAGAAGAGATGCTGCAGATCTTGTGTTCTCTCTCCCTCTCTCTGTCTTTTACTGTCTTCCTATCTCTCTCTTACTCTCTCTTTGCCATGTGTGGACACAGAAAACCAAGTTCTCACCAGGAACCAAATTTCCTAGCACCTTGACCTTGAACTTTCCATTCTCTGTAACTGTGAAAAAATACATTTCTGTAATTTATATCACCCAATCTATGGTATTGTTTTAATATCAGTTGAACAGATTAAGACCTCAAGTTTATTGAGTTAATTTTTCCATTGTATTAAATAAATCCTATTCATCTGCAAATATTAAAGAATGGTTTTTTTTTCAATTCTCCTATTTTGAAAATTCTGTTAAAGGAAAGTGAGGAGTGGAGAGGCAGGAATCTAAAATATTGGAAGAAAGATTTGCAGTAAAGATGACATTAACAACTCGCCCTCATATTCAAGTAAACTGGGAAGTATTTCCAGACTCTTTTGAGTCAGAAAACTGGAATAGAAAGGAGTTACATGTGTGTGAAAGAGGCAGTGGTATGGTGCTTAACAGGTCCTGAAGAATCATGTGGGTGAATAACAGGAAAGGTCCTGCATTATAGTGTTGCTGGGGATATGAAAATGTAAAAGAAATTGGGAATTTTAGAAGTAGTCTCAGAAGACCCAGATAGGCGCATATAGATCAGAAAAACTGGCATAATGAACCTGTTAAAGTATCAGGAAGAGAAAAAGAAATCACTAAAGATGATTGGGCAACAGTAACATTAAAAGGTTGTATGTGTAAGAGAGATGCATGTTTATTTATGTATTTATTTGTCAGAGTCTCACTCTGCTCCCATGCTGGAGTGTAATGGTATGACTGTGGCTCACTGCAGCCTCGACTTCCTGGGCTCAGGCAATCTTTCCACCTCAGTCGCCAGAGTAGCTGGGACTACAGGCGCATGCCACCTCAACCAGCTTAATTTTTGATATTTTGTAAAGACAAGGTCTCACTGTGTTGTCTAGGCTGATTCTGAACTCCTGGGATCAAGCTATCCTTGTACCTCAGCCTCCCAAAGTGCTGAGATTGCAGACATAAGCCACTTGTGCCTGACCAGTAATTACAGAATAACTAAAGATAGAGTTTAGTGGATATATTGAACTAGAATTAGGTAAAAAAGAGGATATAATTTTTGTCTCTCTCTGTTTTTCTCTTTTTCTAGAAAAGAATTCATTAACCACACTAAATAATATTTTGTAATAGAAGGTGGCAAGAACTATAAACTTACCAACCTAATTACTTTTGTTTTTGTATATTCCTGTCCAACTATTGCACACATATGTCCATACTGGGCTGTATTATTATTTTATATGGTAAAGAGCACAGTTATAATTGGAAACTGGGGGTATGTCTACGGCCAAGAAAGAAATGAACTTTGTTTTTATGGTAATCAGAGTCTAAAAGAAATAACTCAGCTTTGAAATGGGAAAAAGAATGTGTCAAGAATGACTATTTAAAAAATTAATGGCAGGACAGGATCACCAACAATGAAATGGTGAAGGCTTGAAGACAAATGCATATTGCTTTAAACTAAATCCATCTAACTGAGTGACGCATACTCGTGTACCTTGACTTATCTTACTCTATGTAGTTTGTACACTGAAATTCTCTAGCACCAGAGGAAAATGAATACTATCCCATGACCTACAGCATGTGCCAAATAGGTACTCATGTGATGGAAGGGTAAGTATAGGAGGAAAGATGTATACTGATAGGAGACCATCACAAAGCTGCCCAAGGTCATTGTGATGATCATGAGTTGTAGTTTTGTGTTTAAAACTTCATCACACAGGCTCTAAGGACTTAGCTTCATTCACATTTCCTTCTAATCAATAAATTAATCCATCAATCTAACACATATGTATGGAGTACTTATTACATGCCAGCACTCCGCTAGGCACCAGAAAGAGTGAAATAAACATATTCCTTTTCCCCTAGAATTGGCAATAGAGCAGGAACACAACAACATCACAACATGAACAGACTATGTGATCAGAACACACAATTAGAATGTAGTGTGGTTGGGTTTGCAGAATGTTCAAGGTCACACAGCTAGCTACAGGGGCTTTAAAGACCAGAATTCTGATTTCTTGATTCTGAGTTCACTGTAATTTATACAATAATAATACTTCCTGTCACATAATATTAAATATAAGCTAATTAAAATAAATTATAATTTCAAATTAGGAATCATTATATATTTATTTGAAAATCACCAAACCTGGACGCAGCTGTATCGACACTTCTCCTGGTGTCACCTGGGTATTAGTTTCATTTTCACTTGGTATAACTACACGCACAGACGGATATTCTATCGAATCAACTGAGCAGCCTTTGCTTATTAAATTGGAAACAATATCACAACGTTCACTTCTTGATCCACCTGAAATGAAATCCTGTTTAAAAAAAGGAAAATCACTGATGTTTTTAGTGCATATAATTTCAGTTATAACCAAAGAAAACTACATAGTGAATGTTGCAAAGAAGCCATCTCCTAATACACAACAAATTAAGCAATTGTTCAAAATAGCTGCATGTTTCCAATAACAGCATTGGCAAACCCTCTTAAATAAAACTTTAATTTATAAATCTTATTTATAAAGAAGAAAATGAATTATTAACAAGGTCATTTAAACCAAGCACTTTAAATGTTGTTAGATGATCACTGTAAAATTATACTGACTTAATTCTTTTTAAATATTTTACTTTGGGACGATGAATCCAAAAGAAAAGTTAGCCAACATAGAACATTCATTGGTTCCAAATGTGAGCCTCAGTTTTCACAAAATCCAACTGGCATGTTTATTATATACTGTTATGTTTGGAATTTGAGAGCAAGTCCTCAGAAATCACATGCCTAATTAAGTACTACAAATTTGTAAAAGAATGAATTAGACATCTAAATTTTTTAGACCATAAAATCTTCCAACTTCTACTATACACAACAGCTGAAGATGCTCACAAGATTGGGAGATATAAGATTGTGTCTCAGATTTTCCTGATTTTGCAAATAAATCTAAAGCATTCATTATCATTCAGTTTTGGTTAGTTAATGGTTATCTAAAAGACATTCAATAAAGTTGGAATTAATGGTACAAGCTTAAAAGTTAATTTATTCCTGCTGAGAAAAATTTCATAGTCTTATTTTTCAGGTGACCATTCTGGTTTTTTTTTTTTTGTAAAAATGGAAAATATATCGAAAAGTATGGAAATATGCTTAACTATATATAATGTTGGCCTGAATTAGTTGGGATGTTTGCTTATACATGAGCTGAATATTTGCTCAGCCATCTTCTTGGCAGTGGTTATCTTTGCTGGCACTCAATCGTTCCCCCTTTAGTTCAGATGATTCAGAGAATTGGATTCCCAATCAATTAATCATTCAATCAAAGAATGTTGATTGAATACTTAGGGACAATAACTAGTTAGGTGTTAAGTATACAGAATGAAACAAGACAGATAGTGTCCCTGTCATCAAAGTCAAGAGGTCATGAGTGAATGCAATCACTAAGCAATTAAGTACAATTACAACATGAATTAAAGTTGGGAGAATCACAGACATCATAGGGTTATGGAGAAAGGGGATTATCAAATTTAAGTGGATATGAGTGTTGACTATGAAGTCACTAACATGAAGAGGGACATTCTTGACACTGGTAAGTAATTAGATGGGATGATGGTAGGTAATGTGAAGACATAAAGATTTTAATTCCTCTCTCAATTTAGAGTAGGACTTGGCAAATTAGGGTGAGTATGACATATGCAGCCCATGGCCTGTTTTTGTGTGGTTTGAGTTAAAAAAAAAAGAGAGAGAGAGAGAGAATGCAATTTACATTTTAAAAGGGCTGTAAAACTGCAAAAAAAGAAAAAAAAATGTTCCATAGACAGAGTATGTGGCCAGCTAATACTAAAAGTGTTCTATGTTTCTTTTTACAGTGCTATTGACCCTGAATTAGAAGGGTGAAAACACTTGTTAATATAAATGTAATTAAAAAGCAAAAGGGAATACATCCTTCTTTCCAATCAGGACTTCAAAGTGTCAATTGGTTAATGACTTCATGGAAATAGAAAACATAAATTTGCTTTGCAATTGCCCATACACCTGAATTTTAGACTTAAGTTTAAAATAGAAAAAACGTTATTTTCTAAATTTAGTATAAACTTATCCTACCTTCTGGTAAGACTTGGAGGTATTGAATGTGAGATTTATTTTATAAACACGTTGAACTTTCTCTGGGAAAGGTGGCCAACAAACTGCTATTGTGTGTCACGTTTTCCCAGAAAGCCTGAGGCTGGATGGAGAATCCCACTTCTCCCAAGAGTGGGGAGTATTGAGAGGACATAAAGCTGGGTACGTGTTTGTTCATTCACGAATTACATGACATGCTTAGACAAAGGACACATGCAATAAAATCATGGAAAGGAAATAAAGTACCGATAGCTCCAAATTTTTCAGCCTGGGAGTCAGTTATTTGGGTATACAGAATAGAGAAAAAGGAAGCATGTTTAATTCACTGTAACTATACGTCAAGCTATGCCATTTGACGATTAAATGTCAGGTTTGCTGAAATTAGCAACACAGTCTCAATTATTTTGCAATGTCTGAATCAGCATGGCTGTTTTATCCCACTATAAAAATGAAGTCAGAAAAACAGTGCCAATTCGCCAATTAGATTTGAACAGGGAAGAAAAGACCGTGGCATCAAAATAAAGAATGGAATGCTGTGCCTGCCTATTGTGGCCTACTTTCCACTTTATACAAAAGAAAAGCAATTTGAAACCACACCCTTTTAATTTTTGGTATTTTGTGTCATTTTAACTTCTTCTGGTCCTTATGTTTTACTTCTTCTACATGAAAAACACAAGCAAAATCTTACTCCAATTTTCTGCATCTAAAATCTAATGGAGAATGAAAAGTCTAGACTGAAATTCTCTGGCTGGTTTTTCATCAGTTGTTACTCTCATCCATTTAGTATAATATTCCAGGGATATAAATATGAAAAGTTTTTTCTCCTACTCATGTTTAAGTTTTTTTGACTTCCACACATGGCAACCTGCACAGAGATGAAATAATTCAATCCCCTTTCTTTTGACAGTGAATGCTCTTCGTGTTACATTTTAGTATAATTATGCTACAAGGCTGCCCTCTAAACTCTGGCTAAACTGTGACACCTTCATCAGACGTATGAGGCAGGAGAGAAAGGGAATTCTTTCATTATGTCTTTACTAGATGTTAAAGAAGGAGGCTGGGCTCGGTGGCTCAGCCTCTAATCCAGCACTTTGGGAAGTTGAAGCAAATGGATTGCCTGAGCCTGTGGATTCGAGACCAGCCCGGGGAACTTGGTGAGACCTCATCTCTACACTAAATAAATTTTTAAAAATAGCCTGGCGTGATAGTGCACACCTGTAATTCTGGCTACTTGAAAGGCTGATGCGGAAGGATTGCCGGAACCCAGCAGGTGACTCTGGGGTGGCCGTGAGTGTGCCATGGCACTCCAGCCTGGGCGACAGAGTGAGACTCCAACTCCAACTCCAAAAAATAAAAATAAAAAGAAGGAGCATGAGGCATTAAACCAGGTAATGGGGATAAGGTTCTTTAATGGGGATAAGGTCCTTTCTGTCCTCATTATTTTCCAATTACTTTTATGTAGTGTGGAGGTAAGGAGAAGGCAAAAATACATAAAATGGCAGATTAGCATGCTACGTAAGAATGCAAACAAATGGAGTATTTTCTCTCTAAATTTTCTGCTGACCTTTTACTTTTGACTAGATTTTAAAATTATACAAACCAAGTTTATTTTGTTACTATTTATCTGTTCTAATTATGAGCAGAGGAAAAACAAAATCTGCCTTTTCCTTCCCTCTCCCTTCAGCAGTACTGGTTGAGAAATCATCGACATCAACCACATCTGTGCCTACATGGTGGGGGATCTTCCCAAATTAAGTAACATATCCATCCTCCAAATGATGTCAGGTCAGCCTGCAGGGAGTAGACAGCTCCTTCTGTTAATGATGTGATTAGGGGATGAGTCCTAATCCTGGATGCTTTCTCTGAGGTTGTGTGATGAACACAGGCAATCCTTTGAGTTTCCTAAACCTGAATGAATTGTACCAGAGCCTCACCAGTGTTCTGTATTGTCACAAATTCCATTTCTTAAGCCAAGCCTATGTGCCAAATGCTTCCCACATTGCTTCGTTTCATCTTCACAATGGTGTGAGGCAGGGATAATTGGTATCTTTATTTTAAAGGTATGAAAAACAGAGGTTCACAGTGATGGGGTAGCATATCTAAGTGCATATCATTAGAAACCATTGGAACTGGAATTTGAATCTAACCTGGTCTCTTCTCTGAGCCTGCTCTCTTAGTACATTAAGTAGACTACACTGCACTACACCATGTAGGCACAGATGTGGTTGATGTATTTTGGGAATGAACAGCCAAGTGAGTTTCTGACTGTCTTCCCTGAGATCCCATCTGAGGAATGTGGCCAAGAATGAACACAGGTCCTCTTCTCCAGCAACCACCTTTTGTCCCCTTACCTCCTTCTATCTGACCACTCATTCCTCTAAATACTCAAAAATCCTTCCTTTTATGGCAGAACTGACAGATATACCCAGAGTTGTGACTCTCCAGATTTTTTTCTACAAGTTAGAGATATGATATGGAGAAGGGGTCACTCTGGAACCTGCCTTTATTTTTTATTTTTTGAGTCAGGGTCTCATTCTGTTACCCAGGCTGGAGTGCAATGGCATGATCACAGCTCACTGAAGCCTTGACCTCATGAACTCAGGCAATCCTTCCACCTCAGCCTCCTGAGGAGCTGGGACCACAAGTGTGCATCACCATGTCCAGCTAACTTTCTGATTTCTTATAGAAATGAGATCTTGCTATGTTGCCCAGGTTGGTCTTGAACTCCTGGCCTCAAGCAATCTTCCTGCCTCAGCCTCCCAAAGTGCTGGGATTAGAGGCATGAGTCTCTGTGCCTAGCCCCTGAAGCCTGACGTTCTATAGCCAGCATATTATATCAGCTGACACCTGGGCTTTGGAACCATCTTTTGAACTACCTTCGCTAAAGCACTCAGCAGCAGATAGCAGGTTGGCACAAACTTCAGGGCTCCAAGGATCTTCCTTAATGACATTATAAAAATCTAGCATGAAGTACTAGTTTAAATTTAGGACATATCAAGTTTTGAAATATGCTTGACAGAGAAAAACCTAGAAATAAACCTCAAATTTCAGGCTACAGAGATGAAAAAAGGTAAACTTGGAGACTAGGTTATGTCTGGTTATTTGGCTCAGAGGAAATGATGGGATTAGACTCAGGAACTCTGGAATTGTCCTCTCTATGACATTACCTGGATCTACAGGTTCTGGTGAAGTACTTCCTAGTTCATGAATGACATCTCATTTTCTCACTGGTGGAGTCCAGAGTACAACTGGGAGGACTTCAGGCTGTCAGTAAAAGAGCCTTACTTTCAGACATGGCTACTGTCTTGTGACTCCCTCCCTGCCTCTATCCTGACTCGCTTTATAGGAGAAAGTGGTGTCGACCAGTTATTGCTGGTCGTCATGCAACTTTTTCTTCCCATCAAAGACAAGTATGAACAAGAGAGGTTGCAAAGATGATGGTAGGTGCAGGTGTTGGGTTAAACCAGAGGAAGAAAAAGCTAGAGATTTAACTTCTCAGACAAAAGACCATTAAAGATCTAAGATCTATTTGTTTCCATTCTCAGGAGCAACATAAGCAAATGTAAAATTACCTAGGCAATCTCATACCCCAAATTAGCAGATGGCTTCTCAGTGAAATTTACCATACACATGTAGTTCTGAGTGAAGACTACTGACTTATGAATATAATTCACAAAAAAGTTAGACCCAAGAAAGAAGAAATGTATTATAATTTTTTTACTAAGAATTTTGTTATTAGGATTTATTTTTCTTGGTAGAATAGAAAAACACTTATTTTTAACAATAAAATTTTCTAAATTATTCTCAAATCTACAAAATTTAAATGTACACACTATCTCATTAGCAAGGTCACATGTCAAAAGAAAAGCATCACATTTTCCATAAGTAGCCAATGCATGGATGCAAATGTTATGAAATGGAGTGACTTGCTTGCCTTCAAGTATTTAAAATAAAAACAATAAGCAAGCACAAGACAAAAATTCAACTTGAATATATAACTTAATGGCTCAAGTTGAAACAAGAATTTTACACCAAAGCCCACTGAACTATCAAAAGTTACTCTCTGTGTTTGCCATTTCTCTCTATAGAACAGATGGAAAACATAAAATGGTTTGCACTTCATTTCAAAATTACCATAATGTTCCTAATAAAATGGATATACTTCATTTTATATTCAGCCAGATATGCTGTTTCCAAGCACAAAACCAAATAAAATTTTCCTTATGCTCAGTAGTGTCTTTTTTTTTAATGCACCTTCAAAGCACAAAATACTACAACAATGAAATCATGCTAGAGAAAGTCAACTATGAGGACAAGAATTTAAAAAAAAAAAAAGCTCACCTCTTGAACACACCATCCACATTCTGGACCCAGTGCAAGGCACCTGGCACACGATGCTGCATTTGAAGATGTGCATCTATTGTCTTCTGGAATGGAAGAAAAAATAAGGCATCAGAGTTTACTCCTACATTAGAAAGAGCACAGAATTCAAGACCAAAATGTATTTTTAAAACCCAAACAGGATGACCTTTTGTTTTAACAAAAGTTAAAAAGTTATATATGATTTCTTTGGGAAGAAGTCTGCTCATTGCAATCAATAGATACCTGCATAATTATTATTTAGCTTTCTAAGTTTGGAAGAAAGGAAAGTGATGAAAATGTGATTTGGGGGCTTGGCATGAATTCTGCTGCAATAGTAGAGGACTCACCAAAAAGTTTTTGAGGTATTTTACTGTATTTCATGTTCTTTGAACCAAGCAGGTTCATTTGGTTCTAGAGTTTTCCTGTGAAACTGATCATATACACATGTCAGTCTCAACATGTAAATCCATGCTGAGTCATAGTGAATGCATTTTCTGGGAAATAACCTTGATGGACACATAAAGTAATTAACTTGGGAATTCTAATTGTGTTAATGTGGATTATTTTGGCTTGAGGACCACCAGAACCAGACATAATGGCATGATTCAGTATTTTAGAAGTAAAGTGGTTAAACTGAATGGGTAGTTTTAGCTAACTCAATTTATTTGTCAGATGGGATAACTTTAAGATCATGACCAATTCACTTTTCCACAAATTCCTGCACATGGCTGTGATACTTGAATAATATATTTGTGCCTGGAAATTATTTACTTTTATCTTTCCATCCACTAACTGCTTAAAAAAATTAAATCAAGTCTCATTATGGTAGATTGAAACATGAAATAGAATACAGGATGAGTCATATGTCATCTTATCATGAGTTTTGGTGGAATGGTCACATACGTTCTACAGTCTGTCCTTTACTATGAGATGTGACAAGGACACTAGAAATCACAGCATAGTTCTATACATCTCATTTACAGGCACACAGTAAACAAAGTAGAGATCCTGGGCTGGGCATGGTGGCACATGCCTGTAATCCCAGCACTCTTGGAGGCCAAGGCAGGAGCATTACTTGAGTCCAGGAGTTCAAGACCAGCCCAGGTAACATAGCAAGACCTTACCTCTAAACAAATAAACAAACAAATACAATTTTTTAAAAATAGCCTAAATGTAGGAAACTCTCAGTCCCAGTGAGGAGAGGACTAGAAAAGCAAGCAAAAACACACAGGATAACAAGGACAGAGAGAGTTCACCAAGGTGCCAAAGGAACATGGGGAAGGGGCTCTGGCTCTGCTTTAGAAGATCAGGTAGGGCGAGAAAAGAGGGTATATTTAAGAATGGTTTCCTAGAGGCCATGACGTCTGGCATCTCTCTTTGCCTCTCATTTTGTCTTCTAATTTGTATTTATCTTTAAAAAATGTAAAGGACGAAGGAAAAATGTGTGTGTGCGTGTGTGTGTGTGCACAATCACACTTAGACATGGTAGTTTTAAAGAGAATAGAAACCACAAAATCTTTAGCTGTCCCCATTACAGTTGGTTTTTCCTTTTATTCTTTCTCTCAACTTTCCCCAACATTCTGGAAATACAGGGTTAAAAACAGTTCTGACTTGGAGGTAGAGGTAGGAAAGTAGGAAGATCTACAGAAAAGTCAACACAGCAGAAAGATGTTAACCAGGTGGTAGTAATCACCCTGTCTTGTATTTCATCAGATGCTCAATGGGCAAAACAGAAAACATCTTTACCCAACCCGTCCAACGTTCTATTATCTCCTCTCCATACCCTCTTCTGCACTGTGTCCTTTACTTTATATAATTTTTATATATATATCATTCAAAACATCTTCTCTAATTTTTTCAGAACTGGCCTAGAATCCTAACAACTAAAAACAACTCTAATGTTCTGGACTCCCTTTACTGCCAGCTTGACCACCTAAAGTATAAAGACTCCCTAATCAAAAAATCTTCCATCTGGCTCAGCCTGTAAAACTATAAAATCTGCTTACTACCAAAATGTTCAGAAAAGTTTTGTTCCCAGAAAGAAAATCAGTTTAGGTGTAGAAGTCAAGCACTTTTGCAAACTGCTATGATTTTAACGCGTTTTCCAAAATTCTATGCTGAATCTCAGTCTCCAATGAAGTAGTAATAAGAGGTGAGGTCTTTAGGGTGATTTGGTCATGAAGGCTCCACCCTCCTAAATGCAATTAAGGCCCATAGCTTCCAGCTCTTTTTATCCTCCCATCCTTTCATCACGTGAGGACACAGCAAAAAGGCCCTCCCACGACACTATATCAATCTTCTTTACACTGAATATACAGCAATGTACACACACACACACACACACACACACACACACACACACACACACACCCTCAAAAAACAAAATGCCAGTACCTAACCTTGGACTTCCCAGTCTCCAGAACTGTAAGAAATAAATTTCTGCTGTTTATAAATTACGCAGTTTCAGGCTTTTTGTTATAGCAATATGGGTGGACTAAGGCACAGACCTAATTTGACCTTTAGCCTTGACCCAACTGGAACATGGAATTACGTCTATTTCATTTCAGTCTTGATCCAGCCTTTCACTCAACAGGTAAGACATTTGCATTGGCAGTTAAGATTGTAGTTTCAGCTAGGCGTGATGGCTCAGCCTGTAATCCCAGCACTTTGGGAAGCAGAGGTGAGAGGATTGCCTGAACCTGGGGGTTTGAGACCAGCCTGGGCAACTTGGTGAGACCTCGTCTCTACAATAAAATCACAAAAACTAGTTGGGTGTGGTGGCATGTGTCTGTAATTTCAGCTACTTGGAAGGCTGAGGTGGAAGGATCACCTGAGCCTAGCAGGTCGAGGCTGCAGTGGCCATGAGCGTGCCACTGCACTCCAGTCTGGGCAACAAGAGTGAGACTCCAACTCAAAAAAAAAAAAAAAAATTGCAGTCTCTTGGAAGGGAAGCTGTAGAATCTAAGGTCTGGTCTTTGTTTCAGATGTTTGTCTGACTCTGTCCTAAGTTAACCCAGATTCAAGTTCAGGTCAGGCTCCTACTTCCACAGCACATGTGGTAAATAAATCAACAAACAAAAATCAATTTTCTTTGTATTTTGACTCTTTTCTTTCAAAAGTTCTAGTATCAACCTTTGTTCTTAAACTTCAGACACATAGTGATGATGAGACTTTGGTCCTGTCAATACTTCCCAGGTTCAGGACTGACATTCCTCAGAGGCCACATAACTACAGGGAAAAAAGATCTCATAAATGGATCTGGAAGAAGTGGCCTTATGGTTCTGTAGAACTGAAGGACAGCCATAAATTGAACCACATGGGAACAGAGTCAAACATTATTTCTGGAGTGTGTCATGATTACATTTCACAGAAGACATGCCAGATACATTTGTACATACAGTATTTTAAAGATTTTGTTTCTAATTGACAAATATGCAAGTTAGTAAAATACATAATATACAGATATCATCAATGACAGCAGTTCTTTTCACTGAATGGTCAAACTATTATGAATGCCATTAGGCAGTGTGTGCTAAAAATTTCTCTCCCTCCATGCCTCCCTCCCTCTCTTCTTTCCCTCCCTTACACACACATACACACGCATAGACACACACACACACACACGCCTTCTGTGAAAGTAGAAATCTTTACACTGTGTATACATCAAGGCATGGCTGTTTATAGACACTGGCAGTTTGTCATCAGCCTCCGAGTCTGCTCAGTCCATCTGCCCTCCCATCCCTGATACAACATCACAGGGAGGCAATTTTCCAGCAGTGGTTTCCTAGCAGCCCTCAGCACTGCACTGACACCTCATTAGAGGGTGTGACTGAGTGGTTCTTCTTCCCACTCTACCATTGTGGTTCCTGCTTATTCAGCTATTTGCTCAGTGATGTTGCATTAAGCCCCTATTCTTTATATTCTAGCATTGCATTTTTTATTAAGGCCATTTTTAAAATCAATCTTAATGGAAATTCTTAAGTCAATGGAAGCAGCATGATTATATCTTAAACCACAGATTCTCACATCCTCCTTCTGTGCCCACTGGTTTTAGTTCTCAGTGCCTCATAAAACCCAACCATGTCATTAAAAAGGTGCTGCCTTGTCAGAAATCAGTGAAGAATCTAATAGCCATATTGCCAATAAGTTTGTACAGTCTAAGTAATTCTATTTCTTGATTTATGAGCATGCACTGCAAGTCTTACTATTTCTCATTATGCTACAACTGGAGATGGCAGATTTGATGAAGTAGCATTGCTAAATAGTTACTGAGAAGAAATTTCTAATTTCCCATAGCATTGCTACTACCTGGACTAATTATTTAAATGCTCCAAGTCTCCATTTCCTCTCCTGTAACACAGGGCTAGCTACATCTGCATCAAGTTTTTGATATGAAGATGAAGTGAGGCAAAGCCGCCAATCATAGTACTCAGGGCATGGTAAACATCTGATAAAAAAATGGTTGTGCTGTTATTATTATTACTATTATAATTAATTGCATGTGTATATATACATACACACATGTATCTATGGACACACACATCCACGTGTATTCAGTTCTAGGTTCAAAAAAGAGAAATATTTTATGTGGTTTAAATTTGTTGTAAATATGTTTTCTGTCTTTAAAATGAAAGTCCCTTAGGTCATAAGGAAAACGTTTTAAAAATATAGCTAACATATAAAAATAGATATTAAGTAAAAAGCTACTACATTTATTTCAGTTGTTTAAAGATGATTCTTAAAAGCCAGTTAAGCTAAATATACACACACCCATCAAACCTATTACGAAAACAATTTTGGCATGACTAGAAATTGGATTACTGAAAATCTCTTAGAACACATTCATTTTATTCACATTTTACAACATGAACATTGACTTAAGCCGAATAATTTTTGAAATATTTCCCAGAATTAAATGTTTATGACGCATGTGAAATGACCTCTCAAACTGTCTGTCATACAGTATAATAATTATCTATCACCAACAGGATAGAGTACACAAGAATCAGGAAACTACATATTCATGACCCCACTTAGGTATATTTTGTTTTGGATGATGCCATTT